CATCTTTGTCAGCACATCTGCATGTGGGGAACAGGAAGCTGGGTGGTGACATGGGGTCACAGGTCAGGGGAGAGTCTGACCTTGCCTCTTGCTCTCCAGTGAAAATCCTGGGGGTGAGTCATCAGGTAGAGGCTCCTGGGGTGGGAGCCAGAGTCTGTCCCCTGGGTAGGTGGGGCACCAGCTCCGGGGACCAGGTGTGTGTGCAGGTGGAACGGGAGGCCTCTGTCTGCCAGAGCACTGCACAGAGAGTCCCCGTGGCGAGGCAGGAAGTAAGTATGGGGCAGAAGGGTGACAGTACAGATGTAAACACGGGCCAAGGAGACCACAGAAGCTGTGCTGGGAGGATGCTGACAGCAGTGCCGACCACAGGGGCTGCTCACACGGAGTGTGGGCGCCCATGCCCGGGGCCCTCCCGTGCACACTCTTCTGCATGTTCCTTATTTAAACCTGCCAGCAGCTCCCGGAGCAAAAGGATTATCACTTTCATTTTAAAGACGAAGAAACTGAAGTGAAGCGACTTGCTCAAGGGCTGCCAGCATGTGGCCGCACCCTGCCTTGGTCACGGTTTCCTGGGTACAGGCAGTGGCGGTCATGTGCTTCTTTGAAAAAAAATTGTCGTTTGCATACAGTACAGTTTGCTCATTTGGTGTTTGGTGCTGTGAGTTTTGATAAATGCATAGATTGAATGGGCTTTTAAAATTTTTATTTGAAAATTTGAGATCATTTAAAATTCACCTGCAACTGTAAGAAAGAGAGAAGTCCTATGTACCATTTAGCCTGTCTCCCCCTCTAGCAACAGCTCACAGAACTGTGATTCAGTGCCACAGGCAGGAGAGTGACACTGGTGACTCAAGAAACAGTCTACTGTGCTTCTCTGCCACCCAAGCCCCCTCCTGTTGGCTTTTCAGTGTCACACCCACTTCCCTCCTACTCAGCACCTGCTCCCAAGCCCCTGGCAGCCCCCAATCTGTCCTTCATGTCTGTATTTTGTCATTTCAAGAATGTAATGTGAATGCAATCACGGAATAAATAACCTTTGGGGACTGGGTTTTTCATTCAGCATAATACTCTGGAGAGTCACCGTGTAGGTATCAATAGTTCATTCCTTCATAGTGCCAAGTGGGATCCCACGGCATGCCTGTACTAGTGTGTGAAACCATCCCCCGGAAGGACATCTGGGTTGTTTCCTGGTTGGGTTGTTAGGAACACAGCTATTAGAAAATTCATGTGCAGGTTTTTGTGTGAATGTAAGTTTGCACTTCTCCAGGATGGATGCCAAGGGGTGCGCTTGCTGGGTGCTGGAGTGAGCTTTTGAAGCGTGCATTTAGGATGGAAAGGCAGGTGTGGGTGGGGAAAACAGTTCAGGTAGACATCAGTGGGAAGTTTATGCCTGGGAGCTGCTCCACTTGGTGTAACACAAGCTCACTCCTTATGCCCTGGATGAGTTGCTTCATCTGTCTGTAAAATGGGGAAAACAACCTGTCATGTAGTCAGTGTGTATAAAGCACCTGGCACGCAGTAGATGCTCAATAGTTAGAAGCTCTTAATGTGGGTTAAAAAAAACAACCAGGCCAGAACATGGTCTGTGCCCCAGAGGTGGCTTCTGGGAGGCCTTCATCTTGCCATTTGTGGGCTCTGGGGCACCCCTTTTTAATCTTGCACAAAGCCATGTACCCAGTTGTCTTATAAAGGCCAAGCCCTTGGCTTCTGCCTGAGAAGTCCCTGGCCCCATTCTCAGACTGGGTTCTGAGTCTCTGGACTGGCACTGACATTCCCCAGTGAACTTGGCCAGGCCCATGTCACAGATCAAAGGAATCCCAGGGAATTCCAGGTTGTGCCAGGCTCTGCTGGTCTGGATTTGCCTCCCAAGGTTTGAGAATGTGCCTGGATCATTACAAGTGTTGCTGTGATTTAGCCCAACTCCAGAAATGTGCATTAAGCTCTTACTGTATTCAAGGCACTGTGCTAGTGTTGCAGAGGGTTCAGGAAAAATCCCTTTCTTTCAACAGATCAGAGTCGCCAAATTCAGCCCCTCTGGGGCCTTCTGTATCTGTCAGTGTAGAATGAAAAGTGCACATTTGGTGTGGCATTCAGAGCCTTTGGTCTGGTTTGAATCTGCCTCTCCAGCTCCTTGTCCTCCAGCCGCCCCCTCTCTCTGCATACCCTGTGCTCACCGTCCCCTTACCCCATGTGTGGGGACAGGCCAGCATGCTTTGCTCACTCTCCTCCCACTGTCTAGGTTCCTCTTTCCTTCCTGTTAAAATCTAGCCTATTTCCTCTTGAATCAAAAAAGTAGCAGAGGCACTAGATGAAATATTCAAACAGCATATAATGTTGTGCAATCAAAGCATCTTTTCCTCCAGAACCACAGGCCCTTCCTTGAGGCAGCCATGGTCATGGGACCGTGCTGGCCCCCTCTCCTTGCTCTTTTCACTTTGCAGCATATCTTGGAGCATTCTGTGTCTGCGCCATTAGAGTTGCCTTGTTAAAATAGTGCTGAAAGCGCATGGTATTCCTTTTTATAGCTACACCGTGATTGTAAACAGTTCCCTCTGATGGCATCTAGGTGTCCCCACTCCTGAGCTCTTACAGGCAGTGCTATGTGTTGTTGGCCCCTGTGCAGAAGGGTCTGTTTGCAACTCAGCTCCAGCACTCATCCTGTCTGCCTTGGGGAGATGGGCCTGGTTCATAGCCGTCTTTCCTTGACCCCTGAGGACAGAGATTGTGTTGACCTTGTTTCTCCATTCGCACCTGCAGACTTGCTGACCACCAAGTTCCCAGGAGCTTACAGTGCGCCACTCCTACACCAAGTACTGCCTCTGAGCTTGGTCTCCTCTGGGGGTTCCAACCGGGATGGAACCCAGATGCCCGCACCACTGCCTCAGTCTGGGCTGTGCTTGGCACCCATTGGCTGCATCCCGATGGGCTAGCATGGTTCCACTGCAATGGACTTCAGCATCGTTCTCATAGGCCACCTCATGTTTCAACAGAATCCCCTCCTGATGGAATTTCCCTTGAAAAACATTCGAGTACTTGAGGGTCATTGCTGAGAAAGGACCTGGTACACAGGCCCCCCGCTCCCCATGAAAATAGTGGTAGTGGTTGTTGAGCATGTCCCTTTCATGAGGTCGGGCTTCTTGTTGGGCCAAGGGCACAAGCTGTTCTCAGATGAGGCAGTCATCCTCAGAGGCACGCACTGTTGTCCCTATTTCATGAGGAGGGAAATTGAGGCTTAGAGAGTAAGGAACTTAGGCTGAGGTCCATCAGACAATACATTTCAAGAGCTCAGATTCCAACCCACGTGTCTTAGGACCTGAGCATGTAACCACCATACCTTCCTGCCTTGTTAGGGAAAGGACAAGGGGTGAGGGCTGGTCACCCCTGGCCTTTGGCCAGTGGCTGGCTACCCCAGAACTGAACATGGTCATGCCCAGAAAGGAGATGGCTGCCATCACGCCTCGCTCCACCACTGATGCAGCACAAAGGGTCCCTTTGAAGGGAGAGTCCACGAGCACCGCCCCCCCACCCCGACCCGTCCCTGGAGCCACTCCGAGCCCCACTCTGAGCCAAGCATCCAGGGGGCTGGCGGGCATCTCTGGCTCAGCCCTCGGGCCAGAACGCAGAGGAGTGGTCTGAAATTCTTTCCTTGAGCAGTGTTGGTCAGAACGTGCCACTTCTGGATTGATGTGGTATTGCAGCCATGCATCAGGTCTCCCAGTGTGACCTGGGAGCCTGCAGACCCCACCGGCCTCCATTCCACAACAGTCAATCCTTTGAAAATGTATTGATTTCCCTCCTCCCCTTCCCTGCCTTTGCACTTTGGATGAACCTTGTTTTCGAAGAACAGTAGAAGGTAATTTTCCTATGCTTGCCAGCTGGCCCATAATTGAACAATTTCAATAACACCCACTATAAAGTCTAATCGAAGTAAACAGGAAAATATGATTTACAATCTGGACAGCAAGTAAATGCCAGGGTGCAATTAATTTCTACACAGATTCTAAAACAGAGCAGCAGATTCTAAAACAGTTTCCTGCACTGAGCAGTTGGGTTTTGATTAGGAACTGCCTTTCCATTTTTTTTTTATTACTATCCTCATCATTTTTACTTTTGAGGGTGATCTTCAGGTTCCTTGTATCCATGTGACTTTCTTTGAAGGTGTAACCATGGAGGGATGTGATGGAAAAATAGGTTCAGAGAAATTAGTAAGATGTGACTTGTCAGACCTGGACTAAAAGCTGTACTTTTTCAGCCTTTGCCTGGTGGGAGACGGCTGTGGGCAGGAGGTGCTGCTGGGCTGTGCAGAATACAAGGGAGCCCTGTCACTGCTGGGAGCTTGGAGTGTGTAGGCAGGCCCTTGCTGTGGCTCATTCTGTGGAAGGCGACAAAGCTGCAGAGTCCCCCAGGCTTGCAAGCGTGTTGTTACTGAAACGGGATGCTTCCAAGAATGGGACGTATGTGCCTTTAAATGAAGCCTCCTGATCCTTCCAGTAGCTTCTGTTCATAACTGGGTGGGGGGCAATAGCCACCTTGGTCATCTTGGGTCCCCTGCTGCCCGTTTGCTGCCCAAGCGACAACCTCTTCAGTTTTGCCTGGCGTGTATCTAACCCTCAGCCTACCTTGGGTATTCAGTGAAGCTGTCTGTAAAGCCTGCTCAGTGTAAAATGTCACGTGACACTTTGAAACAGCAGCTTGTGAGCAACCGAGACCCTGAGATACGGCTTCGAAGTGCCATGTGGCTGAACTGAGATTCATTGTTGTACTCACCAGGGTGTTGATTTTAGGGGTGCCCCAAGGCTGGCATGGGGAGTGGGGGCTTTGAGAAGGTGATTCTGGCCTTTGTGGCCCCTCTAGAATGTCTCTCTTGCAGTAGGGGTTCCATTCAGGGTCCCAGCGTGGGCAGCTCTCAAGGCTTGTCTTCCTTATCCTGAATCCCTTTGCCTTTCTTTTGTCTTCCCAGGGAGTTGAGCACACTTGGCCATTTCCTGGAAGAGCCCAGCCCTGAAGGTGTGGGGGGCCGATGGGGAGCTGTTTCTGCTGACATCATGCACCTGGGAGATACCCAGGAGGCCGCCTCTGCCCTAGTCTGCCCACTGAAGATGGCTCGTGCCCACCCTGGGACAGAGCCTAGCACCTGAGGACCTTACCATGGTGATGATCCTAAGGAAAAGCCTCAACGACCAGGGAGCTGACTCCATAGCAGGCAGGACCTTCAACCCTGAGCTGGTAAGGACTTAGGGGGCCTCATTTCTCTGATGACCATTTTTGAGGCCTGATGTGCAGGTGGGGCTGTGGACTGAGCACACAGGCTTAGCAGACTGAGCCCAAAGTGCCCGGCCAGGGCAGTGGGCCACAGTATCCCAAAGCCTGGCTAAGTGCTTGCAAGAAGTAGCCGGAGGAGCTCCTCTTGTGAGTGAGGAGAGAAGGCCAGCACCCTGGTAAATAATACCAAGCATGGTTCTGCTACCCCTGCCAGGCTGAGACCAACATTCCTTCTGTTCTCCACCCTGTGAGGGGAGGTGGTTTCCGAAAGGGGGTGGTGCCCAATGTGGAGGCCAAGATAAGGCTGTACGTCCAGTGCCTCAGGAATGTCAAGGGTGGGAGATGGTGGAGAAAGAGGGTACAGTTTGGTGGCCAAGGTGGTGGGCTGTTGTGACAGCCGCCCCCAGCTGCCGTTTGCCCGAGTTGTTCTCTGACCAAGTGGCCTGATGGGCTGGGCTAGAGGCTGACAACCCGACCTTCTCAGACTGAAAACAAAACAGCCCCCTAACCCCCTACTTGCAGCCCTAATTCCTCTGTGGTTAGTGGGCCTGCCCCCTGCAGAGGGAGCAGGAAGAAGCCCCTCTCGGGTGGAAGCACTCCCGTGGAGGAGTTCTGCTGGGCGAGTCTCCAGGCCTCTCTGCAGCAGTCTGTGCTCAGGAGGAGGCCCACTGTCGCCCTGGCACCCCCTGGAGCCCCTATGGGACCCACACTAGCACCTTCACGGGTGGTCTTCCCCGGGCCCACCACACCGATAACCAAGCTAAGAGCAGACAGGCGGGGTCTCAGTCCTCGTGGGAGCGTAAAAGCCACCAAGCAGTGGGTGTGCTGGGCCCTGGGCTGAAGGAGTTGCACAGACAGAGGTGAGTCAGGCCTGTGCCCATCGTGCTTCCCCCAAGTCTGCATCAGTACATACTGTGATTAGGTTCCCTGTCACCATGCCCACTGCTGCCACTCTGCTGCTACTCTGCTCCTGCCTGCTGCCCCCTCACACTGGAGTTCTTGTGATAGCTGGTCTCCTGCTCCCGCCTCCTTTGGCCTCTTCTCCATGTGGCAGCCAGAGGGCATACAGTGAGATCTGTCCCTCCTCTGCTCGAACCTTGGACGGGCTGCCCATCTCAGGCCCAGCAAGTGCCAAAGCCCTTGCCAGGAGGGGGAAGCCCCATGGCCTCTGGCTGCCATGATCACTCTGCTCTCTGCAACTCCCCCATTTGCTCTGCTTGGGCCACACCAACCTCCAAGCACCAGCCGGCCTCAGGACCTTTGTACCTCTGTGGCCTGGAACACCGCCCCTTAGCAGGACTTTCTCCCTCCTTCCCTTTCTTCTCTGGTCTCCCAACTGAAATTTAATTACCCCACCATTCCTGTGTGCACCACTGCCCCCCAACTTTCTGCCCCCTTTCCATGTCTCTTTTCCCTCTTAGGTACTTTCTAATCTAATAAAATTTTTCTAGTATTTTAATCTTGTACTTTGAGTGCTCTTGCACTAGAATGGGGGCTTCATGAAGCATGGGGTTTGGCCTGTTTTGCTTGTTGCTGAATACCCAGTACCTGAAGCCAGGGCCTAGAACGTGGCAGGTGCTCAGGGAGCATTTGTAGAGTAAATGAGTGTGGGTGCTTGTAGCCCGGCTGCCGCATTGCTTTAGACGCTCTCTGGCTGCTGCTCAGGCTCAGGGCCGAGGGGACGCAGGCCCGCGCTTGGTGGTGTTTTCCTGCTGAAAGCCGAAGAACAGTCCAGAGCAGCTTCGACCAGAACAGAATGACCTGCCCAGTGAGGGCCATGTGGGGGTCCCAAGGGAGGGGCCAGTTGTGCCCGTAGCCTCAGTAGCCGCCAGTGAACTTGGCCCCATCTCAGGGGGCACCTGGCTGGGCCTGGCTGTGGTGCCTGGTCCTGGGTATGTGGGCCGGAGGTCAGCTGGGCTGCCCTTCCAAGAGACGTAGCCCGAGCAGCCTCCCAGTCCCGGCCAGGGAAGGGTGCGCCTCCTCAGAAGGTGCCAGTCACGGGGATTCAGCGGTCAAGGGCGCGCTCTGCTGCGCCCCTGCCACCTCACAGTCATGCGCCTCCCTCTCTCCCCGCACTCGCCTCCTGGTCTTGGCACACCGTCGCTTCGCCCAGAGCCCCCAGCACAGTGCTCCTTCCCCCTCGCCCCTCCTGGGTGGGCAGGTCCGCTGTGAGGAGCGGCCCCCTTTGGAGCAAGGGGTTCTCGTATGTCAGCTTGGTGCTGCGTCACAGGGTGGGCCACACTTCTGGCCTGTGTGCATGGCGAGAGTGGAGAACGAGAGTGGAGGCCCAGGGCAGGCAAGCAGGAAGGCGGGAGCCCCCGGCCTGGGAGGAGAAACATGGCTGTCACCCTCGCCTCCTGGGGCATCCTCACCCCCGCCCGTTCTGAGGGGCAGGAGTGGTCTGTCTCTACCCTGTTACACAGGAAGCTGACTCAGAGGGCCCAGGGGATGGGGCCCTGGGTCACAGCTGGCCAGTAGGGTGGCAGGACGCAGGCCTCGAGTCCAGGCCCTTGTCTGCACGTCCCACCGAGGCCTTCATGCGGGCCCTACTGGGCTCCTGCAGCTGCGCCCCTCTTGGGACTGTAGGCCTCGGGGAGAGGCACAGACTGAAGAAGCCAAGACCAGCATCATCTGCGTGTGATGACATCCGCCAGGCAGAATGTGAAACAGACTGATGTGAGCCTTTGTTCTGAACAGCCAGCGGGGTGGGGAGGAAGTGCTGGGGGTTCGCCTCAGCTTCCTCGGCTGGTAACATCATCCTCTGGGAAATACCATCAAGATAACAACAGGAAAGATGGAAGAGCATTTCTCTTTTGTTTTCTAATCAGACTAAGAAGATAACAGAAGTGGGGGTTTAAGGTAAAAAAGAAAACAAGAAATCCCCACAGGCCACTCTGGAATTGTGGGAGGAGGCCCCTGAGGCACAGCGTGAGGAGAGAAAGTCTCCAACTGTGGGCGAAGGTCACCTGGGGCCGGGTGGAGGTGGGGGCCTCAGAAACCCCGGCGGCTCCTCCCTGCCCACCCCGGGGTCTGTGTCATGGTCTCTTGTTCTCCGTTTTCCAAAAGCTAACGCTGGTGACAGGTGACTGTCCTGCCTCCCGGAGAGGTGTAGGAAAGCAGCGAAAGGGCCGACCAGCGCTCAGTGATCTGCCTTCCCGGGGAGGGGGCCTCCCCGGCCCAGGGAGAGACGCCTGAGGCCCCGTGCCCTGGCCCTGGCTTGGCGTGCGCGACGGGCAGCCATGCTCCCGGTTCCCCTTTCCCCTCTGCCGAGTGGGCTCTTCCTCCTCCTGTTCTAACATTAGCTGCTGCTGGAAGGCAGCCCAGACGTTTGACCTCGGGGGCAGTGTTCCCCAGCTCCTTCCCGCACGCCCACGCTTGCCCGGGCCTCTGCTCGCGCGCCAGAGTAGCCATCTCCCTCCCTGCTCGCCAGCAAGTCCCCCACCCTCTCAAGGGGGCTGGGGGCGCACTGCTCCAGGGTGGAGGGCCGGGTATGGCTCCAAGCTGTATCTTTCCTCGGCCTCGAACCAAGCTGACACTGGTTTTTGGAGCCAGGACTTCCTTCTGCGCCTGTCAGATTAGGATGCCCAGGCTGCGACTTGCCCAGTCAGAAGAGTTAGTAGCCACGGCAGGCCTTGGGCCCGGCTGCCCAGGCCCCGAGGGTCTTCATACTCCCGGTCGCCCCAAGTTGGCATGGGGACCAACAGCCTCAGCCAAGATCCCTGGCAGGCCACAAGCTGGCCTGAAGTAGAATTCAGAAGTGCCCAGCCTGGTGCCTTCCCTCCAGGCAGGCAGAGACACCAAGGGCCGCCTGCACCTTGGCTAACCCTGAAGCCTGGGGCGCCAAGGCTGTGCTGGGTCTCCATCAGCATCTTTGGGAGCCTCCACCAAAGGGCCCTTGTCCCTTCTCAGCTTCTCTTTTTCTCCTTGGGCCTGGCTCTCCCTTCTGCTTTCCACCACCGCAGTCTGTGTTCCTTCGCAGAGGCTGGGGCGCCCCCAGCTTGTTCCCCTCCAGTGTGTGGGTGTAAGAGGCCGTGGGGTGTTGTGGCTCCTTTAACACTGTCAGCAGAAGGGTGAAGGTGCGAGTGCCTTCGCCAGGATTCTGCAGGAGAAGATTAGGAACAAGCACCACCATGGCCAGAGACGAGCTCGGCCACTCTCTGTCTGAGCAGGTTCCCCATTAAATAAAGACCTGAATTGTGTCTTTATTGAAGTCAGGGCTTCATTCCTTCATCAGACAGATGGTCTCTGAAGCCTCAATTTGATTTGCAGCATTTGGAGGGTCTGATTCCAAAACTTTCTCTCATGATCTAAGGAATCTCACAGAGACCAGGCCCTGCCCTGGGGTAGGCTCAGAACAGGCATTACAGTGGGAGAAACACAAGGGGAACCGCTCATTGTCCTGTTTCCCTGCAGACACCGGCCAGGGCCTGGGCGCCCGCTTCTGCCCACACACTGAGTGTCTTGTGAAACCGGAGGGTGAGAGTCTCCCCAGGCCTGTGGGCCTCGTGACAGAGTGATTGACTCATCCTTCCCGCCATGGGCGCAGAGGGTCTGAAGGGTCAGGAAGACTGGCTGCAGATTGGTACAAACCAGCGGTAGTTTTATCACAGATGAGGTATACTGGGAGCAGACTGGCCACCCTGGAGCTCAGTGGGAAACTTGGTGTTGGACCCGGGGAAACCTGCCAGCAGTCAGGGTCCAGGCCTGGGAAGCTGCTGAGCACATGTTCTGGTCTGCCCACCACCAGGCCAGCCACACAGACAGGGCTCAGAAAGCAAGACGGGGACCCTGATCCGATCTTGAAGACTGCCATGAAATTAGCCAGGTTTCCTCAGTTGTAAGCAAGGGAGACCATCTCTGGTAATTTATACCAATAGAGAATTCACTGGAGCAGTGGGAGAGGGCTGTGGGACTGGAGAGGGGTTAGGGAATGAGAACTCAGGAAAGGCAGGCAGAGAACAGCTGAGAGGATTTGGAAGCAGCTACTTAGGGCAGGCTCAGGGCCCCTCCACGGAGTGAACCAGCCTCACAGCCCTTGGTCCAGGAGTCAGGTCCTTGCCTGCATCTTGTGCCCACCCCATACCAGGGGAAATTGAGGGACAGTCTCACCAAGACACCATCCAGTGTGGGAGGGGAGAAGTCCCAGTGCAAAACTGGGGTGCTATTAGCAGAAGAAGGTGGGCTGCACCACCAGGCCATGCATTTCCAGATGCTCAGTGAGGGAGCATTAGTGGGGTGCCCCTAGAATGGGACACAGAGAAGGTGTTCCTTCAAGTTGTAAAATCTTGGTGTTAAGCAATTGCTGGTCCACCTGTGCCCTTACGTGCAGAATCAGAGGCACGTGAGTAGCTGGGGCTGGCCTGGTGTTCGACCCCAACTCTTTTTGGCTAGTGTTGTGCCCCTTCTGAAACTTGGCATGAACCCAGTGATCTTGGGAGGCAGCAGGTTCTGCCCAGGAGAGATCCTTTCCCACTGCTGCATCTGCTGGGCGTGTGGCAGCAGGAGCAGGACAGACTTGGGCTGACAGGTGGCCATAGCAGGCGGTCAGCGGTCACGTGGCGCCTGCCTGTGTTGGGGACATCGTGGACATGACAGCAGCCTCAAGAAGCCTGATTCTCACGGGGAGCAGAGAATAAGCCCAGAGGCAGATACTCTGATGCAGGCTGTGCAAAGGCTCCACTAGGCCCCCGGGAGAGAAGCGCGGTGGGGAGGGCGCCGAGGAGGCCCCAGCCCAGGAATGAGATTCAGAACCCGCCCTGCAAAGGCCACTCTGCAAAGCTTTACTCTGGTTGCTGTGGGAAGTTGCCAGAGGGTGCTGTAAGCAGAGCTCTGGGGGTCCTGGGAGGAGAATGGGGAGTGGGCCCAGGGCTTGGGTGGGGACCAGTCAGCTTGGCCTGGTCTTTCAGGTAGGGCGCCGGTGGCTCGGAGAGGGGCAGTGTGGGAGTGAGGAGCGCTCACATTGCAAGTACACGGATGGCTTCAGCCACGGAAATGGGTCTGCGGCAAATGCAGATAAATCCTTGCTGAGAGAGTGAGTGGTGAGTGAGAGCCAGGGGCCCCTGTGTGCTGCCCAGGGCTGCCCTCTAGGGGTGTGGCATATCCACATTCCCTGGGTGGGCTGGGGCCCCTCTGTGTGGAGCGTGCCAGCTTAGGAGAAAGAGGCTGTGAGCAGAGCTGCACTGAGAGCCAGGGGTTGGTTCCCTGGTTTGCTTCTGGCTGATGCCTGAACCCCAAGCCCTGCTCAGTGGCACCCACATGCTGGCGCAGCCAACAGGCCGCTCTGGATTCTCCACCTCTTCTGCTTTCCCCAGCCCCGTCCTGGTTTGTGTTTTCTGGGCTCCCAGCCTGGGTAGCTTTGCATCCCTACCCAAGCACGAGGGTGGCATGGGGCTGTGGTCCCCCAGTGGGTGTGTGCTGTATGCCAGGCACTCCTGTGGCATTGGAGCGGTCGTCCTCAGCAGGTGAGGCCCTGGGCATCAGCCAAGCTGACTTCCTTCTCTGGATTCTCCCCCCTGGGAGCGGGTCCTGCCTGGCTTTCACGGCTGCGTGCTTAGCTGCGGGGGCTCTTGAGTGTTTGCCATGCAGTGACTTTGTGGGCTTTCAGTGCGAATCCTGCTGCACTGACTTCGTCATCTGGGAGGGAGGCTGACAGCCATCTTGAACTCTTGGCAGACACTTCCATGGTTGGCTGCAGATTGGATGGTTAAGTCAGTGTGGAATCCAGGAGGGTGGCCTGTCCTGAAAATGAAAGGACTATTCTGAGCTGAGGAAGGGGATGGCCTCGCCCCCTCCATTCCATGTGAGCTCCTTCTGGTCCTCTGGCACCAGCTACAGTGTTTCCCCAGAGAGCCAGCCTGCCCTCCAGCACCCATAGCCTGGCCACCACCCCTGCAGTCCCACCCTTTGTAGCATAAAGGTTTGTCTCAGTCACAGTGTCCTCCATGAAGTATGAGCTATCTGAGGGCCAAGGTAGGTGTCCTCTGTGTCCCAGGCTGGTCAGATCGGACCCTTAATAATCTGATTGGATGAACACATAGCTGACTGAGTGTAAAGATCCCTGAGTTGAGCAGCTGGGGACAACGGTAGGGGAGCTGGTGCCAGGTGCTTGCCAACCTCTTAACTGGGTGGGCCAGGTGTTCTGGTCTGCCTCACCCTCATCCTTCCAGGCCTTACAGAGCCAGTGCCTGGGTTCCTACCCACTTCTAGAGAACCCTTGTGTGTCTCTGTCATTTGGGGTTCCTCTCAGAAGTTAGAGTTGTCTGTGACAAACTGATTCTTGAGGGGCTGACAGCTTCGTCACCTTGGTGTGATCGGCCCGGGCATAGCCTGCATATGAATAACGACCAGTACTTGTGAGTGGATGAGCAGTTGAGTAAATGAACAAGTCTTTGGCATACTTGAAGCAGACCCTTGTTCTTGGGGCCCCAGTGGGCACAGTCCCTTCCTCACCAGAGGTCAGAGCAGGCCTCTTGACCTAGGCCTCAACTAGCACAGGGAAGGCCAGAATGTTCCACGCTCAGGTTACTCTGTCGCTGTGGAGCAGTGCCTGGGCTCAGGAAATTCCAGGCCTCACTGGCCTGCTTCTCCTGCGATGGCCGTGGCATTCCACTGAGGCTGGGTGTGGGGCTGCAAGGGAGATGCGGATGCTTATAATGGAAAGGGAGACCGTTGTGGAAATATGTGCTGGGGGTTCAAAAGCCATAGCCCTGTGTTGAACCCAAATAGAACATTGAGTTTCTGTTTCAGTTCAGAGAGAGTGCCTTGGGGAGCCTCCTTGTAGCTCAGAGCAGGGGCCCCGCTTAAGCTTTACCTGCTGCTGCTGTGTAGAGAAGGAAGAGCTGCCCTTGTATTTGTAGGGAGGGGAGGACCTGGGATGGTGGTTGGGCCTCTGCTCTTCACTTAGGTCCTTCTTGTTACCTGAGGTCTCCTCCTCTCCCAGCGCAGCCTGTGGGGAAGCCTCTGTTCCGCCCGGCTCAGTGAACTGTTTACATCACACCTCCTGCACCCCTCTCCACACCACTCACACAGAAAAATCCCCTAATATCAGAAGTCATGGGGCTTCTTGTGTATTTTTGAAGCCCATTAACTTGACAGACTCTTAACTCACTGGAGACGTCGGACAAGGAGTCCAGGTCTCATTATGGGCACATGTTGTCTCTTTTAGTGCTTTCTTATCCTTTCCCTAATCTGACATTTCCAAAAGGCAGTTACCCCTTTAAGTGTGACTTTAGCAAGGGATCAGTGCAGGGTCATGTGCAAACGTGCTTCTTATGACTTGAAGAGTGAATAGCTTTTCTGGTTGTTTTCAGCACACGCCAAAGAAGATGAGTCAAGGACCGACACTTCTCTCTTGTGGAATTATGGGTGAGTAACCGAGGTGGCTGTGAGCAGTCCTCTAGTCCTTCCCCAGGGCCTGAGTCCTCCAGGTGAGATGCTGGAAGCACTTCGTGGACACAGGCACCAAGAGCAGCCGTGGGGACGCTTCTCTGTGTGCTTTAACTGTTTCTGTCCACCGGTGCTGGGGAGATGTGCAGGTGTGTGGTTCACAGATGTCATTTCCAGCCATATCATGGAGGATTTCTGTCTGTAATTAAAGTAATCGTGTTCATTTTTTAAATTTGGAGAATGTATTATAGCATAAAGTGCATAAAAATCTCTCAGAGCCCTAATACCTAGTGATAATACCGTTAATGTTTTGGTGTACTTTTATGTCCTTCGCATTTCTTACGTTGCCAAGTCCATGATGAACATATGATGATATAAAATTATATACAGACTGTTTTTCGCTTTTGTCACTTAGTAGTTACCGTCCTTTCTCCACAGTGTTAAAATCGTCCCTTCCATGTGTTTGAAATGAGTCTTTAGTACTGTGCTGTGTGGATGCGTCAAAATGTATTTAACGGTTCAACTATTGCTTGGTTGTCAGGCAGAAGGGCCGTTTCATTTGCTGTCGTGATTGACAGTGACTAAGTGTCCAAGTCCTTGTCTGCCTTTGGTTTATTTGTTAGGCTAGTTCTGGAGTAGAACAGAGAGGCTGGAGGGAAGGAACATGTTTAAGGCCCTCGCTTCACGTTGCTGAGATGCTTCCCGGAAAGGTCGCCTTGGCCCCTGTCCCCACGCAAGCGTGAATTACCGTTTTCTGTAAGGGGGCCAAGAAGATGACTGTGGATAACATTGATTTCTCTGTGCTCCAGCTGATCGGGAGCAGTGCCCCTTCCACCGTCTCTCCCTGATTCTGGCCCCCAAACCCTGCCAGAAGAGTTTCGGTAACATCTGCACTGAGGCAGAAACCGGGCTCCGTGGTGGGTGACCCCTGCAGGCTTCCCAGTTTCATGTTTGTCTTCACAGGACTGTACCAAGTCTCCCCTGCCTTTTTCTCAGCTGCTTCCCTCTGTGCACGGGCCTTTCGTTTCCTCCTTTAGACCCCGTTCCTGTGGGCGGGATGATGAGGGTGGAGGGGTGCTGGGTATGTCACAGTGAGCACGGTGTGTGCCAGGCTCCTTCCGTGCAGGATCTGCTTGACTCTGCAGCAGCTTCGGGGACGGGCGGGAGCACCAAAGTCACATAGGGGACACCAAAGCCTGGCGGGGTCACCCCCCACGAGGTCCCCTGGCAAGCAGAGTTGGACCCATGTCAGGGTAGAAGGAAAATGGTTTTCTTCTCAGTCACAAGCCACGGCGCTGTGGGGCCCTGACCCATGTTCTTCCTGCTGCCCCCAGAGGAAATGGAAGCAGGGAGGTCACCTGGCTTTGGTTTACCCATGTGACACACTTCTGAGCCCTGTCCCCATGTGGGCTTGATTGATTACCTCGCTGGTGGTTAACGGCTTTCAACAAACCCTCATACTGAGCTCCAGCTGGGCTGCCTGCCTTTGTCATGCCTGAGAAGGAGACAGGCTTCAGCTCTAAACTGGGCCAGACCAGGACACTGGTCTGTGGAGATGCTGGTCTTGACCTCAAGGCTGTCTGGGCACCAGGCTCCGGTGGCCTTTGCTCTGAGTGTGTTGGAAAAGGTGGAGCTCTGGTGGGTTTGTGCTGGGCCGTGTTGGGGTTCATATGATCACTCTGAACTACTTATTTTCCTAAGCTTCAGTTTCCACATCTGTAAAATGGCTGTTATGACAGCACCCTCCTCGGGGGCTTGCTGTGAGGACTGTGTGGGGTATGTTTGTGAGGAGGCCGGCACAGCGTGAGCGCTCTGTAGTAAGGGGGAGTCCTGTTCCCTGCAAAGGGACCCCCGTGGCTTCCTTGGGGAGCAGGGGAAGGTGAGCGTCACCTCGTGAGGAAAGATGCTCAGGCCCTGGGGGCCAGGGGCAGAGGCCTGTGGGGAGAGGCTGTCCTTCCTTCTGATTGTCCAGCAGCGTCTCTGCGGCCCTGGAGCCCTGGCAGCCTGCTTTCTACCCGGGAGGCTCCTGTGTGGCCCAGGCTCCCGGCAGGGCCTGCGCCGCTTCTCCAGGCTCTTGCCTGCATGGCGGCTCTTCAGGAAGCACTCTGTCTCTCACGGGCCAGTCTCCCTCCTGCTCTGCGGCCGGTGCCAGGCACTGTGGGCAGTGGAGGAGCAGCCTCGGGGGGCGTCTGTGGGGTCCCCTCGTCCTGTTTGGCTTCTCTGCCTCCCACACGCTCAGCTTTCTGCTGGCAGTACCTCCGTGGTTCAGGAAGACCCTGGCCCATCTGGCAGTGTGCATTAGGAAGGCTTTTTGTTCACCACGGCTCATTTTTGTGGCTCATTGTTGAGTACCTACTGTGTGTCAGGCAGGGATAGAGTGAATTAGCCCCTGCCCTCAAGGGGGCTCCTGTTGTGTGGAGGGGAAAGATAAGGAGCAGTGAATTTCCTGTGGAATGGGTCACCTTCCATGATGAGTGCCAAAAGCGGGCCCTCAGAGCTGTGGGCAAACAGCCCACTTCCTGAGCCTTGCTGGGCTCCTTATCCTGCGGGTGGCAGGTGTTTGTGGGATTTAAAGAGGTAGCAGCCTCAGCACCACCACCCCCTCGCCCCCATCCTTTCCTGCACATGCTGAGGTGGGAATGTCAGCAGTCCAAGGCCTTCCCAAACCTCTGTGCCAGTGGAAGCTTGGCTGACCATTCCTGCCCATTTAACCAGGGAGTCAAGGCGTGGCCTCGCCCTGTGCTGTAAGCTGGGAGAACAGCCCAGGCAGCAAGATGCATCTTCGGTGTTTTTAAAAGCAGGGAAGAGAACACCCCATGGGTCCAGCCGGACTTTTCAGGAGGATTTGGGTTCTTCCTGGGCTGGACAATGTTCAGCAAAGATAAAGTGTCATGTTATTATAACCATTGAACCCCTTGCCTGTCTCCTGGAGGTAAAGAACTAATGTTCTGGCCCCCATCAGTGGAATTGTCCCCCTGATTGCTGGGGAGAGCCTGGCCCGTGACTCAGGGCATTACGCTCCTAAGCCCCCATGCCAGGGTCCTAGCTGGAAGCCAGTAAGAGTTCATGTTTCATAAATGTTCTTAAGAAAATCCAGGTGAGCACCTTAGGTTGAGGGGCACAGCAGCCTGTTTGCTTCCTCTTAAAAAGGCACCCTTTCAAGTAGCTCAGCCTCCTCTGCACCCACTTAGATGAAATAAATGCCTTACTGATAGATCCAAGTGCTCACAACAGGTTTTGAACTACTTCGTGTATTGTTATTGTGAGCTGGATTACAGGCCCCCCCAACCTGTGTCCTCCCCCTGCCCATCCCCCGTTTGGGAAGTTGATAAAAAGAAATGGTTTTATTCTTTTCTGATGTAGGGGCGTGAACAAAGCCAGAGTGAGGTGTGGATGGGGCGAGCAGGGCAGAGTGGAGCCCAGCCTCTGGGTGCCTGGCAGCCCAGTCGCCAAGGGGCTCCTTCTGGCAGAGACGATGCTTTGCCTCTTTGGTTTCCTTTGTCCCCTCCCAGACCATCCCCAGCATACCTTCTGTGCTGATCCAGAACTTCCTCGGCAAGCAGCTTCTCTGGGGAAGAGCTCCACACATGACTGGTTATTGTGTTCTTGACACAGGAAACCTTGGTGAGCTGGCCGCTTCATGGGTGTGGCCCACCCACCGGTCAGCTGGTCTGCTAGGCTAGCCAGCCCTGTTGTGGCCATGATTTCTAGTGGGTGCTGCAGGGGGCTTGGCTATGCCTGAGAGAGTCATTCTGCGATGGACAGGCGGGGCTGCATGTAAATCCTTGGTATGTGGGCTCCCTCCAAGTCCTCCATCATTTGCTGGGGGAAACACTCTTCATGCCAGCTCAGGGTCACACTGGTGCTAGCTTAGTCTTTTTTGGGGACACAGGGCAAGTGAGGTGAGAGCAGGCTCCATTCACCACCCTTGGCTGATGGCTCCCATTAAATGCATACCATAGCGCAGGGGCAATGGACATTACACATTCCATTTTCCTCGCCACTCAGGTGAGAGAAGGTCTAGGAGTCATGTGTGAGAAAGCTAACACAATACCAATTATTGCAAAAAGGCCACTAGGAGAAGTCATAGAAATAAATACAAATAGAAATGGACAGAGAACAAAACAATTCATATGCTAAAAAAAAAAAAATGCTTGGAAACCCATAATTACTTTAGGAGTTATGGTAATAAATTATTTATTAATGTAAATTATTTCACAGGCAAAGAGCATAGAGGAAACTTGAGCAGACGGATCATACATTATGTATAAAAAGGAATTGTAAAAATATTATAGCAGCCCTGCTTGTGCCACTTGGTTCAGGTTTGCCAGCATTTTAATTATAAGCCCTTACTTTCTGTGTTTAATTACTTGGCTGTTAAAGTCTACTCTGTACATAAAAGGGTTGTTCCCGAGGGCACTCTCTGTATTAAGTTCTACGGGGTAAACCAGTTGGCTATGTTGAGCCATGCAGGACTGAAAGATTTCGTTTTGAGATTTGGTAGCTTTGAGGCTTTTAACTCCTCCACTATTTGTTGTTGAAAGTGGAACGTGATTGTACCTTGTCTGAAGAAGCTGGTATTCGGAGGTTGGGCATTTTCAATTTCTTAGAACAAACAAATGGCTAAAACAAAATGAACACCAGCAATGACAACAAGAGAGCCTCTCAGGCCCAAGTTCTGGTCTCTGTGCCTTTTTCCACCTCTCAAATAGCCATTTTGAATATGAACACTGGCCTCCTGTGTTGGTTTCCTATAAGAAACTGATTATTAAACGAAGTAGGCTTGAGTGAGACTCATTTTCATTTTAAGAAGTATGCATATGTATGCTTTTTTAAAATATACTTTTCATTTTTTATTTTTTCTTACTTATTATGGCATATGTGTGATTTTTTTAATCTCTAAAATCTCTTAAGGTTTAGCTTAAGGCTTGTCCATACAGAGGGCTTTAAACTTTTCCTGGCACCATTTATTGGTTTCA